GAGCTGTGCGCCTCTTGGACAGCAGCAAGAACTGCTTGATATGCTGCCAACAGGTATGTCCAAAACATCAGAAGTGCTCAGTGTCACCTACTGCCTATTGAAGCTACTGCACTGCCAGGTCTCTCTCCTTCCCAGGGCCACTGCCTTTCATACACACAGACACATTCTCCTTGACAGTATTTGCCCCACTTCTGCCTCTGAATGGTTCTGCTTTCTGGCTTAAGGGAGATACTAAGCTCAGTCTTCTCTCCATCAGTCATCATGTGTTGCTCACATTCCAGTGTTGCCTGAACATTCCTTCACCCTCGTTCTCACCAGAACATCTGTCTTGCTATTCATCCTATCTGTAACCAAAGCAAGCTCCTCTAAACAAACAAGAATCATCAAATGCTCTGGATCCTGTATTGAGCCTGCACAGGAATTACAGTCCGTTCTGACATCAGGCCTGGAAACGCACAGAATGGGGCTACCCCAGTAATGTCTGGCATATATTCTGGGAGAGGATGTAAGGAAAACAGATGCCTGGAGCGACGAACCCAGTCTTATGAGAAAGATGGAAATCAAAAGCTTATTAAAGGCAGAAAGAATTTACTGGTGAAAGCCTTGCTGTTTGGACACAGCCAGCCCAAAGCTGCTGGCAGCAAGCTCAGGAACAGAGTGTCCTGGGCTGAGATCTCAGAGAGGATGTGTGTCCAACTCACATGCCCAGTGCTGCTGGGCTGCTCAAAATCCTTTTGAGGATGAAGTGCTCTTGTTTGATTCTACTTGTTAGCCCATAGCTGTATGTTTCCACATCAGCATTTTAGCAGGAAACTAGCCTCTAAACAATATCACCTCTCACAGCTTTAATGAACTGAGCCCAGACACACATCTCCCTGGAGCTGCTCAAAAGGCAACAAGCATTGACTGCCTCTCTTCCCACAGCCCAAGCACAATCACCCTGCCAGACTGAGGCCCCACAGGACACAGAGGAAATCTCTCACCTTGAGTTTGCTGAATGTCCCAACAGTGTGGTCCCAGGCTGGCACCAGGTGATGCAGGACACTGTCCAGGAGCTTGATGAACCTAAATCCCAAAGAAGATACTGCAACACAGGAGGGCCAGAGATATGCACAAGCCTATTGCAGACCAGCCACAAGCTGAAAAGTAACAGCTGATCCAAACCCAACCCAGCATAGTCTTTTCTATCACAGAGTCTTCAGTACCGAATTCCCACTCTCTGGGCACTGCAGGCATCTTGTACCCCTTGCAAGGGATTATGTGCACACCTGCCCCACACACCACACAGATATACTGCAATTGAAACACACAAGACACTGAACTTGAGCTGCAAAACTCCTCTGAAAGCACAGGGGAGTTATCCCAGAGAGTCCACTTTGTTCCCAAATGGCTCTGCTATTTAATCCAGGGCCCAGGATCCCCGTCCCAAGGGGCTTTACAGCCTCTAGCCATGGTTGTGATGGAGGCAGCACCAATCCCCGCAGGCAACACCACCCCACTTGTCTGCCCCCCCCATACAGTACCTTTGAATGAGCACAGCCCGGCGGTACAGCAGGTCAGGGTCTGTCCCTTCTAGGCGAGGGTAACGCACTAAATTGGGCAGCTGGAACATGTCAGCACTGAGCCCCAAGTCCCTCTGTCGGGAGGATTTGATTTTGATGCCTCGGAGGCGAACATCAATCCCATCATCTGCCAAGAAGACCACGGATGATACACTGAGACAATGAGAAAGCAAGCCTTCCAGCATGGAGTTCTGTGAGTAAAAGCACTGGGAATGCGACCAGCTCTGGGGCTAAGCACTGAGTGTCTGAAATATCTCTGTGAAGAAGTGGGGCATTTACAGAAAAAAGGGAAATGAACTGAAAGCAGAGAAAGACAGGGTGAAAGCTGAGAGCCTGCAAGCCTTCAGGTCCCGCTGGAGCTTCACATGGTTCTTCTGCATCTCATCTGAAACAGCCCACCGAGCCATGTACAAACCACAGGAACAAAATTAATGTATAGCATCTTACACATACATTATGGATGAGGCTTTTAACACCCAGCCCTACCTCTGCACTCCACAATCCGGATCTCAATGACAGGCAGGTGTGTTGTCATGTCTTCAAGGATGCACACGTCCCCAATGTAGCTCCTGCAAACACAGCACAGAGGGCTGCTCCCTCACCCATCCTGCCAAAAACCACAGGCCATTTGTAAGGGAAGAGGGTTTGTATGTTTTGAAATGGATGTCTGTGGCAGAAACACGGACCCAGTTGCCTACAACACAGCCTATGCTGAATGCCTGAACCTGCTGGTGCCCCAGGTCCCCATGACACGATCCCAATGGGTCCCATAATTGGATCAGGACAGCCCTGATGACTGTGCTGTCTGCTACTGTAGGCAGAGTGAACTTGCAGCTCAGATAGACAATGCCTGTCCCAAAGCTCTAGGTTTTTTAAGCCAGGCTGGTGCTGGCATGACTGTTTAGGGTCGGGGTGTCCTGCATCTCCCAGCCCCTGCAAAGGCCACACTATACTCTCCACTTCCAGCCACTCACTCATCAATGCCGACATCATTCAGTTTCTTCAGATTGTCTCCCTCGCCTCCATACACAGCAACCCGCTTGGGCATGAAGTTCTCATCAGTGGTATCCACTGTCAGCAGGAGCTTCCTGCAAAGGGAAGCATGAAATGAAGGCAGCTGCCTCTGAACACCCACCACTGCTCTCCCCCATTGCCTGGTCACACTTGTCATCAAGTACAGCAGCTGGTGCTGGGATCCCCAGGCACCTGTGATAATGGTAAGACCTGTTCAAGCTCAGAGCCAGAGAAAGGCCTGGGAGACAGGGAGTGCAGGGGAATTTGGGCCATGATGGAGAGGTGCCTCACTTGACAATGGTGCCTTTCTTCATGTTGAGCCGCACCCAGTGCTGGCCCTGGGACCCGTCACTCTCCCAGTACGTGTCCGCATGGCTGTCGGTCAAGCATGACACATTGAAGTCCTCCTGGAAGAGGGCAGTAAATGAGAAGAAGATCACATGGGGGCAGGATTAACTTCCTTTAAATTATTACTTTTGTCATGAATCTTGGAGCCAGAGGGCATCAAACTGACCTGTTCCCTTTGCTGGGCTGTGGCTAGACACAGGGAATACAGAGCACACAAGACACTGGGCCTGACTCTCCAAGGTGCTCGGGGGTCACACATGCAACGCAGAATATCAAACCCTCCCTAAAATCAGCTTTGCAGCTAATATCAGCGTTTGCTTCTGAAACCACAGCCCTTCCCAGGGCCACATTACACACTATGCTGCATGTTGCTCCCCAGGCCTCTCTCCCACATCCTCAAACACAGCCCAGCTCAGCACATCAAGCACCCCCCATGCTCCCCAGCCCCATGGCACAGCAGGGCTGACACAGCCTTGTCCCTTTAACTCACTGTGTAGGATGAGACATCGATGCTGTCCACATACTGCTTGACACTGCCCAAGTTCTCATCCTCCTTCCCAATGTGATCATACAGGAAATGCACCAGGTCTTCATCACATTCATAAGTCCATGTTGGGGGCACAAACCTACCAGGGAAAAGGGATTAATGGGTCTGGAGGAGAACCATGGGCAGCCAGGCTAGCAGGTCAGCGAAGGCAGGTCCATGTTCTGCTTCCCATGGCCTAGTCCTGTTTTCTGTTTGTACGGGCTTATCTAGAACAAAACATGGCCAAGCAGAGCCGCTCCTCACTGCCTGTCTTCCCCCGTCTCTGCCAAGGTCTGCAGGAGACGGCTATCTGAGCAACCTGCGACACACACTGCCTTGCACCCAACCGAAGCAGCAGCTGGGACACAGCTCATACCGAAGCTTCTCTACTGCAGCCTCATCCTGCTCCATGGGCTTGGGCTTCGCTCCGAGGCGCAGGGAGTACGTCAGATCCACCACCTGCTCCCATCTGAAACAACCCAGAGAAGAGGGGAGTGAGAAAATCCCAGGGGAAAGAGCGTGAACTACCTGGAAGGGGAAGACTTGAGTTTAAAGCCCCACCGCACTCCATCCTCCATCACTCACTCCATCCTCATCCACCACCCTTTCCTTTCCAGCCATCTCCACTTCTTACAACCCAAATGGCAGGTGATGAGCAGTTACCGAGCCAAACCCAGTTAACTCCACATCTGTCATCCCCATGGCCTCATTTCCATGGAAGAAGTGGCCAAATAAACCGGGGCTCCTCAGTGCACGGCAGGAACGGCTGTATACCGAGACAGCCTGCAGCTGGGCCTGCGTGAACGGAGGGAAAGCACCTGCAGCTCTGCCGTGCAAAGGGACCCGGGACAGCCAGACACGACGACCCAGACCCCGCACCTGATGACGGGCTTGTAGTCCACCCCGAAGAGCTGCTGCTGCCGCTGGATCCGCTCCGTGGAATCCACCGGCACCAGCCGGTCCCCGCCGTCGGCGTGCTTGCACACCAGCACCCAGCCCTCCTCCAGCTCGCAGCCGCTCCGGTACTCCTCCAGCTGCTCCTGCGGGGAAGGGCGGCTCCCGTCAGCGGGCGGGCGGACGGGCCCCTCCGCAGGCAGCGCAGGCCGCGGGGGCCTCCCCCAGCCCCGCCGTTACCTTGCTGAGCTTGACCCAGAGCCCGGCGCTGTTGCAGTACTCCTCGCCGGTGGCGCGGAGGCAGCCGCCCTTCCGCACCTCGATGGTGGCCCGCGCCGCCCGCTTACCGCCCCTCGCCGGCCCCGGGCTGTCCCAGACGCTGAGCAGGCTGCGGGCGGCGGCGGCGGCGGTGGCGGTGGGGTCCTTGCAGATCTTGTACTGCACCTCCCGCGGCACGTAGCAGAGCGCGGCGGGCAGCGCCCGGGCGCGGCGGAAGCACTCGCTGCACTGCAGCAGGAACCGCAGCCGGCCCAGCACCTGGTGCGGCGCTTCCCCGCCCGCACGCATCGCGCACCGGGCTCCGTGCACGGCGGGACAGCGACCGAGCCCCGCACTGGTGGGGTCGCTACTCGCGGGTTTACGGCAAACCCCGCCCGCCGACAAGGCAAGATGGCGGCGCCCAACGGGGCGGACGTAGGGCAAGATGGCAGCGCCCGTGCCGCGTAGGGAGGAGGGAGGAACGGGCAAGATGGCGGCTTATGGAGCAGCGGGAAGCCTGGCAGGATGGCGGTGTACGAAGGGGGCGGGACAAGATGGCGGTGTACGGAGGGGCGGGACTACGGCAAGATGGCGGTGCCAGCGGGGCGGGACGGGGGCGGGGCGCGGCGCGTCAGGAGGCCGCGGAGGAGCTGGGGACAGCGCGGGAGTATGGAGGACGGCGAGCGGCTCCTGTGAGTAACCGGGAGCAGGGAGGGCGACGGGGCGGGGGGAGCCTGGGTCCGCATCCCCGCCGCCCTCCCTGGTCCTCTGGTGCGGTGAGGGGGGGCAGGCAGTGGGGTCTGCACGGGGAACACTGGTGTGGCCCTGGGGATGGTGCTCTGGCATTGGGGTCCTGTACTGGGGACACTGGTGTGGCGTTGGGGTTCTGTGCTGGGGACACTGGTGTGGCGTTGGGGGTACGGGTGCTCTGGCATTGGGGTCCTGTACTGGGGACACTGGTGTGGCACTGGGGGTATGGGTGCTCTGGCATTGGGGTCGTGTGCTGGGGACACTGGTGTGGCACTGGGGGTACGGGTGCTCTGGCATTGGGGTCCTGTACTGGGGACACTGGTGTGGCACTAGGGGTATGGGTGCTCTGGCATTGGGGTCCTGTGCTGGGGACACTGGTGTGGCACTGGGAATACGGGTGCTCTGGCATTGGGGTCCTGTACTGGGGACACTGGTGTGGAGCTTAGTCACTAGTGAGGCACTGGGAACACTGATCCTGCCCTGGGATGGGTCAGCAGGGCCACGGGTCCTGCAGTCACTGAAGTAACTGGTCCCACACTGGAAGTTTTGGGCGCTTTGTCCCTGTGGTCCTGGCTGGTCACAGCAGGATGGTGCTGGCCGCCCCCCATATTTCCTGGGGTCCTACCCCTATGGCAGGCCGGCACCCCCTCAGTGGAGGCACTGCAGGGGGAGGCTGGGACACGTGGTTGTCACCATGGGCTGCACAGCACAGATAGGAGCTGGGGACATCGGTGGCAGGGCTGGACCCAAATCTCTCCAGGCGGGAGCAACTGCTGGCCACGATAACTTAATCTCATGGGCCCCTGGGCTGGGTATTGCCTCTCCCTGTGGAGGCCCCCCTAGTCCCAAGCAGGAGAGGGCTCTGCACCATGATGGGGAGCATTTGTCACTGTTGGGCACAAGCCCTTTCATGCAGTCACCAGCCAGGAAGTGGGGATCTGGCAGGGCACGTAGACCCCTCATAGGTGACAGCCCACACCTTCTCTTTCATCCACAGCCCCAAGGGTTTCCCCAAGCTGAAGAATGACACGTTCCTGCGAGCAGCACGTGGGGAGGAGACGGAGCACACCCCAGTGTGGTGCATGCGGCAGGCTGGGCGCTACCTGCCTGGTGAGCGGGTGGAGGGGTATGGAGGGGCACAGCAAGGGTGGCCCAGCATGCACCCCATAATGCTCATGCTGGTCCTTTGCAGAGTTTCGGGAGACCCGGGCAGCGCAAGATTTCTTTGCCACTTGCCGGAGTCCCAAATTGTGCTGTGAGCTGACGCTGCAGGTGAGCATCCTCTGGGGATTCTGTGTGTCCCCTCTCGCCACCCAGAAGGGGATGGGGAGTAACCTTGGCTCCGGTCACCCCACGTGGCCCCAATAAGTTTAGCAGCCCTTGGAGACCCTGCTGCCCATGTGCTTGTTCAGGTCTTCATGGGGGAGGGTATCCCATCCCCTCACTGATGCTGCTTCTTCCCATCCACAGCCACTCAGACGATTTCCCTTGGATGCTGCCATCATCTTCTCTGACATCTTGGTGGTACCCCAGGTGAGAGCCATAGCTAGTGGTGGGGAGCAGTGCCTGGGAAAGGGGCTGGATTCAGGGCCACCCCATTCCTGCTTCTTCCATTCTTCGCTGTCCCCAGGCACTGGGCATGGAGGTTGTCATGGTCCCTGGCAAAGGACCCACGTTCACAGAGCCCCTGAAGGAGGTGGAGGATCTGCTGAAGCTGCGACAGAAGGTGGATGTGACCGCAGAGCTGGGTTACGTCTTCCAGGCCATAACGCTGACACGACACAGCCTAGAGGGCAGGGTACCCCTCATCGGCTTCTCTGGGGCGCCTGTAAGTGATGTGGCTCCTCCATGTGGCTTTCCTATCTGGGCTTCTCTGCTCTTTCTTCTGAAGTGACACTAGCCATGACACCCCAGAGCTGTGGCTGCTAGAGGGGTGCATACACAGGGGACAGTCAATGCAGGAGCAGCTGTGCCCCAGGCTCTGGGGTGCTCAGAGGTCCTACCTTCAGCACTGTGACCAGCCCCTCCTGTCTTCCTCCATCGCTGTCCTCACTTTACTCCTCTTCTTCCCACAGTGGACACTCATGTCCTACATGATTGAAGGTGGTGGCTCCACTACAATGGCCAAGGCCAAGAGCTGGCTCTACCGGCACCCCGAGGCAAGCCACCGACTGCTGCGGCTGCTTGCTGATGTCGTCACTGACTACCTGGTGGGGCAGGTGGCTGCTGGAGCGCAGGTGAGTCCTGGGGCATGGGGACAGGGCCAGGCAGGAAGGCAGGGAATGGAGATGGGAAGCAGAGACCGTCCAGCTTCTGAAAGCAGGAGGAGGGGCTGAGGTGCAGCTCTCCCATGCCCGTTTTCCTGGCAGGCACTCCAGCTATTTGAGTCCCATGCAGGGCACCTGGGCCCGGAGCAGTTCCAGGACTTTGCCCTGCCTTACATCCGAGACATCGCCCAGGGTGTCAAGAGCAAGCTGAAGGAGGAGGCGCTGCCCCTGGTGCCCATGGTGAGTTGGGGCTGCCTGGATTGACCCTGACATCTGGGGGCTGTTGGACGTGGCGCAACCCTTGGTATCTATCTGACCCACAGCAGAGTTACTGCCCATCTCCTCCCTCTCCAGATCATCTTTGCAAAAGATGCACACTATGCACTGCGTGACCTGGCCCATGCTGGTTATGAGGTGGTCGGTCTCGACTGGACCATCAGGCCCCAGGAAGCTCGGTAAGTCTGTAGCAAAGCACTCAGGTGCCTGGGCAGCACCTTAGGCCGGGTACCCTCACTTCTTCCTCTGACCTGAGCCATCCCAGGCTTGGAGACTGCTGGTCCAGCAGTGGGGATAGTTGGGCTCCCATGCTGTGTGATGCTCGTAGCAAACAGGGGGCCGCACTGAGGACTCCTAAAGCGTGCTGAGGTGGGGGCTGCAGGCACCTGGCTGCTCCCAGTTTCTGTACCACATGCAACAACTCACCTGCTTCCTCTTTGCTGCAGTGCACAGATAGGGAAAGATGTCACCCTGCAAGGAAACCTAGATCCCTGTGCTCTCTATGCACCCAAGGTAAGCTGTGGCCATTGCCAGTAACTGGGTTAGTTCTAGCCTGTGTTAAAGGCCTCCTGTCTCAGTTTCCCCACCTGCATTGCTGGCTCGTGTCCCAGCAGTCCCCCAGGCTGGCTGGTGACTGGTGGGATTGATGAGTGGTTTCCTACTGTGCCTACAGGAGAAGATTGGTGAGCTGGTGAAGAAGATGCTGGAGGGTTTTGGGACGCAACGCTACATTGCCAACCTGGGCCATGGCCTCTACCCTGACATGAGCCCTGAGCACGTGGGTGCCTTTGTGGAGGCTGTGCACTCTCATTCCCGCCACATCAACAAGCACAGCTGAGCCTGGGGGCCTGGGGACAGGACTCTGATTTGGGCACAGTCACCTCAAGTAGCCTGTTGTCACAGGGCTGGCTCCAGGCTGGGCTGCAGCATTAAACCAGCACATTCTCCACAGCAGCCGTGTGGCTCTGGCTGGTGGGATGGGAATTGGACAGCCCTGGAGGAGAGGGGCAGTGATGGCAGTCTGGCAGTGGGGCATGTGAGGACAGGGGGAGTCCCTGAGCCCTGTCCTGCAGGTCAGAATGGGGAAACTGGGTTGATAGCAAAGTAGGGGGGGGATGTGCCTCCCTGCCAGGCTGCACAGTATTGTGCCAAGGGGTGGCAAGAGAGGGTGTGAACTCAGAGCACAATAGGCATCTCTTGGCACTATGGATGCACTCAGCTCTGACAGGGGAGAGGAGCTCATAACACACCACTGCCACAGGCTTGGCATAAGCAATGCCACTGTACTGCTCACATGGGAATAGACAACATGGCATTAAACCAGGGCATCATTTAGTGAGTGGGAGACCCATCAGGACTCACCTAGGGGACAACCACATGGCAGGAGCCTGCAGACAGTACCAGCACCAGCACCCTGCCACACTGGCTGGGATCGCAGCAAAAACACTGTGGCCCTAGCACTGCCATAATCCTCCTCCAGCTCCCAGAGACTCTTTGGGACCATCCCACTGGTCCTGGAGATCTCTTCCCTCCCTATCTCCTCTGATCCTTGGGCAAAGTCTGCCTGGGGCTCAGCAAACCCCGTGGGAAGCAGTAACCCTGCTGCCAGCACCCAAGAACCCCGAGTTCCGATTCCATACCACCCCATCCCACACTGCAGCACACACACTGAGGTCCAGGCTGTCTGTAGAACGGATCAAGATGTGGACACCAACACTGCTGTAGCTGGCATGGATGGGGCAGTGTCCCAAAAGCTGGGCAGGGACCTGTAGACACCCGGCCACCCAGCAAGCACGGTGACCCCTCCAACTTCAGAGAAAGGCAGTAGAGATACAGGCAGTAACGTTCATCCCTTTTTATTATTAAACATCAGATGAAGGTCGCACACACACATACACGCACGCAGAACAAAAAAGTAAAAGAAAAGAAAGGAGGAAAAAAAGAGAGACTGGTTGAAGACCGCTAGTTTGGTGGCGACACAGACCGAGTACAATTGGTTTCCTGGCCAGACCGCGGACACAAGTCACTTGCCAAAAAAGTAAAAGTCAAACCAGACAGCAGATATCTAGCCCACATTCTCTAACTACAAGTCACCATCCAGACCGGCCCTGGCCCCCCCAGCCGTCCCGACCCACTGGCAAAGAAATGAACCAAAACCAAACAGCTGCCAGCCCAGGACTGGAAAGTCTGCCCCTGGCACGGGGCGAAGCCGGGAAGGACCAAGCATTGGCTGCACCACAAAGCTGGGAAGCCAAACACTGCTTGCCCCTGCTCCCTCCCAGGAGCCAACAGCCCTGGTGCCCACCTGCCTGCCCAAGCACCTCGCACCCCTGCGCCAGTGGGAGACGGCGTGTGCGAGGTGATGGGCTCGTGTCCTCCATCCCCAGCATCCATGTGTGTCCGAGCGAGCGTCCCCCGAGCCCCTTCCTTCGCTGTCCTCAAGCGTTGAGCTGCTGCTCCTCCTTCCTTCTGTCCATCCATCTGTCCGTCCATCCATCCCAGGGCTGTGAGTCGACCTTCGCCTCCCCCCACACCCTTCTTGCTGCCGACGATGCCGTGGGGACCTGAGAAACGTTCGCGTGCCTCCTCCTCTTTTTGTCTGTGGTTTTTGTTTTGTGTGGTTTTTTTTAAATAATAGTTATAATAATAATAATAACAATAATAATAATAGCAATAATAAAAATAATCGCCCCAGCCCATGACAATTTCAAGTATCCCCCAAATAAAAGACAGAATTATAAATAATTATAACTTTACAATTTAATAATTGACACATATACTATAGTATTTACAGTATCATAAATGCTTTTTTTTTCTTTTTTTGTGTTACTTTTAGTAAGCAATCCCTGAGAACAGTTACTTTAACTTGTTTTATTGAAGTATCTTCACAAATAGAGGAGTTTGCATGTCTCGGGCGGGCGGGAGAAGCACTCTGCAAAGCCATCGCTTTTGGTGACGCATGAGGTTCTATGTCGCAGGTTTCTTTGCTCGCTCTTCTTTACTTTTTTCTCTTTTCCTATTTATTTTGAATTCCCCATGTAAATTTAACGATTTCTGCACTTTGCAACCTTCAGATCCCTCCAGCGACCGCTTCCTTCAGGAAAGAGGTATTAGATTTCCAGGTTAGCTTTTGGTATTGGCAAGGGAGGGCAGGGGGCTGAGTGAACCATCCTTTTTCCCCGTGGTTGCCTTTTGGTTTGTGCCCAAGGAATCTCTGGATCCTCTCAGCGTGTGAAATGGTTAAATCCAAGAAAGGAAAATAAAAACAGAAAACAAACAAAACAAACAACAAACAAAAAGAAACAAAAAGACCAGAACAGAGCAGCCTCTGCCGATGGGGGGAAGGTGATCTCTGCTTTCCTTCCTTCTTCTCTCCCGAGTCCCCTTGCTGCGGCCGGACCCTGCCAGTGAGCATGGCAGGGGCCGGGGCTCACCCAAACCGCTCCCGCACCAGCAGCATCAGTTTTTTCTTGCCTTTATAGATTTGTTTGAGATTGTCAATGAACTGGGCAAACTGTATGTGCCCGTCCTGCGCCAGGAGGAAGGTCTCCCTGGCCTTGCTGAGGAACTCGATGAACTCCCCGTAGTGCCGTGGGCTGATGTGGGTGAGCCGGGAGTGAGTGGTGTTGATGTAGGCGCTTATCGTTGCGTCCAGCAGCTGCCGCAGCGGGGCTTTGTCGGTGGACATCAGCTTTCCCGAGTTCCTGCGGCCGGGAATGCCGGCCAGCCCTGGGGCCGTCATGGTGCAGCGGCGAAGGATGTCCGAGAGCACCGTGGCACAGTGCACGCTCTTCACCACCAGTGGGATGATGGCCGCCAGCTCGTTTTTGCCTAGAGAGTGGCTCAAGGCGCAGGCCCAGAGCACGTCGTTGATGGCTGGGTGCGTGTCCTGGTTGTAGGCCAGGTTGAGATGCGTCATGGCCAACGAGGCCAGTTTGAACGCCCGGAGTGGGTAGCCCCGGTGCTCCATGTAGCGGGCGATGGTGAAGAGCTGGGTGTAGGTCATGCCGGTGGAGGCGGCGTCGATGACGATCTGGTAGGCGGTCTCGAAGGCGATGTGGTCCTTCTCGCAGAGGGTCAGGGCGGACAGGGCGCAGTTCTGGGGGTCCTTCATGGCACACTGCAGGGCCAGGGTGCGGGCGCAGCTGGCCAGCTCTTCCCGCTGCGGGTAGTCCAGGCTCAGGCGCAGGATGGTGTTGTGGGACATCACTGTGGCCGCCACAATGCTGGTGGCTTCCGTGGGAGTGAACAGCGAGTACCAGCTCTGCAGGATGCTCACCAGGGCCCTCACCCCTGCAAGGAAACACTGGGGTCACGGCACAGCCCTGGAGCATGGCTCGGATCACAGAGCTCCGCCAAGTCCCAGGACAAAAGCCATGGCAAAGCCAGCTTGCAGCAGTGCTGAGCTGCTGCCTCTGACCCAGCAGGGACAGGGCAGAAGGGGACAGGCAGAGGGTACCCTTCACTGCCATGCTGCAGGTCACAGCAAACACCGCTGGCCTGACCCAGGTCCAGGGGACCTGTCCCAGCCCCATACCTGGCCACTGCTGTGGCCCTATCTCTGCCAGCTCTTAGGTGCATCCAAGTTACACAGGGTGCTGACGCACTGGCACAGGCTACCCAGAGAAGCTGTGGCTGCCCCATCCCTGGCAGTGTTCAAGGCAAAGTTGGACAGGGTTTGAGCTACCTGCTCTAGTGGAAGGTATCCCTGCCCGTGGCAGGGGGCTGGAACTGGATGAGCTTTAAGGTCCCTTCCAACCCAAACTGTCCTGTGATTCTCTAAGTGGAAGGCCCAAAAGAGCTCAGATGCCCAGGGCTATGAATGACCCTAGGGTCCCTCCCATCGCATGCAGGCTGGGTCCCCCTAGTACGGCAAGGCACTCACCCACTTCGGTAGCGCACGTCACCAGCCACCTCACCATCTCCCGCCGCCGCCAGTTGAGGGTGGACAGGGTCATGCGCATCACCTGCAAGGCAAATTCGGGGTGACTGGCTGCCCCCCAGGGCACCCAACACAGTGGTGCTCCCCAAAGACCCCTCTGTCCCACCTGGCTCCCCTGTGCTGACTCGCCTCCACCCAAACTGCATCAGGCACAGGGGCCTCCCAGGGCTGAGCTCCCCTGCTCAGGGAGGAGTTTACTCCTTCCACAGCAGACACCCTGCTTGGTGGAAGACCATCACCAGCGCCACTGCCAAAGCACACGGGGCAGAAGGGCCACCAGCATTCCCAGTGCCACCCCATACCTGGAGTCCCAGCTCCAGCGCCACGTTGAGCAGCGTTGTGTCCGAGTTGCTGTCGGCTGGCGTGGCGATCTTGAAAGCATCCTGAGCCAGCTTGAAGATCAGGGAGGAGGAGTGGATGTTCTTCTGGATGGCCTCCAGCACTGTGCGTAGGCGCAGCATGTCCCCTGGGTGCAGGCAAGAACAATCAGATGGGCTCAGCCTCCCCCCAAGCTCCATCTCCCGAGTGGTTAAACAGCCCCTTCAGCCCCTCTGGACACCCATGCAGAGGGATGCACAGGGATGCTGGATCAGGCCCTGCAGTCCAACAGCAAAATGAAGTGTCCTCCCTGGGAGGTGACACATCTTACAGCACCCATCCTCGCTCAAGAACATCCTCTCACAGAGAGAACAAACAAGCCTGAGTGATCCCAGACATATCCTGGAGCATTAGCAGACATTTCCAGGCACCTGGATGTCCTACCCTGGGTTCAAGTTTGACAGCTGTAAAGCACACTCTTCCCAACAAAGGAGGGGTTTGGGGAGATGCCCAGTGCTGAATGGCTGCAGAAAGGTCATTCTTCATTTAGAAACAGTAAGAAGAAGAAGAAAAGCTGCTTCCTGTACACATACTGTCTTGATCAGGAAGTCCCTTCCCTCTGCAAAGCTATCAAAGGTTGGGCCAGGGCCACCCAGGTACACTGTGACTTGGTCCTGGATGTCCCAGGTCA